CCCTCACTCCGCCTGAGCTACCAGCTTACAATGCTCGGATAATATTGACATATTTCTCAGCTACACTATTCCTCAGTAGACAGTCCCAAAATACACGTCTATGCACCGAATCGGACGGACTGTTGATATGGAGGAACACGACAACGGTGGGCCGCCAATATATGTGACGGTGCTCTAACAACTGACGCAAGGTGAACATGTGGTCGATGCAGCCACGACCCTGACGAAACCCCGCTTGTTACTCACGAATCTGGCTTTCACGAGTGGCAGTCAATCTGTGAAGGATTATGGAGGCGATGGAGATCCGACTGATTCCTCTATGGTTGCAGCATTCCGATCGTGAGCCTCCCTTGAAAATTAAGACTATGACGGAGGGGCTCCAGTCGGTTGGGACAGTTTCCTGTTCCCACAGTTTCACTAGTAATTCCTGCAAAACATCAACAAGAGTAGGGCGCCCGAATTTGAAGAGGGCTAGAGGAAGATCATCTGGTCCCGCGGCTTTGTTCAACTTCAACAGTCCGATCTCACGTTCGACTTCTGAGCGGGAGGGCGGATCCAAAGGGACAGCCCACGGAGCAGGGCGATCACTGGCCAGTGAGGAATCGCACAATTCCGACCGATTAAATTGCTTTTCAAAATGGTCAACCCTACGCTCTAAATGTTTTGACAAATTGTGAATAGGGTGTCTATTATCGTCACAAATTGTTTCATTAACACCAGGTCTCCTGCTGTCCGTTTCCCGTATCATACGGAATAACTTTCGATGGTTACCAAGGACATTGGCCATTTCCATCTCTGAAGCACGAAGCGACCACCAGGATTCGCGGTCTCTCCTCAGGCTAGCACGGAGTTTTACCCAGAGCTCTTTGCAACTTTCATTGTGTTCGCTTCCAGCCGGAATATGCCGGTGAGCATCGATAATTTCCAGAGACCGCGAAGAGACGCAATGTCCATGTTGGCGATTAGACTTACCACATGAGGATTTGCCTGCTGCTAGTAAGTTCTGGTGAACATACGACCAGCGACCATCAATTGACCCCAGTGAGCGCTTACTCAACTCGCTTGTCAGTGTACTTTGATAGCCATTCAGAACAGCTGGCTTTGTCAGTTGGCTGGTGTCATGCGCTCACACCGTCGTCGTGGGCGTCCGCCAAAACGCATCCGCATGTCAGCACATACAAGTACATAGTCGGTGTCCACACAAGTGCACCAAATAGAGCGACAGTTATGGACGCAGCCTCTCCAGCGGTAACTGATTGCAATGTGATCCATCTGCTTCCATAGGTGTTTCCAAGCTGGTGGGCGCCAAATCACCCTCCGGCGAGTGTTATGTAGGAAATTAGTGCTCGCAAGAAGTAAGCGAGCATATTGATACAAACGAATTGATTGCAAACCGTTAGTAGCACGTGAGCCTACACCGTGCTGACCGTCCAGATGCATTTCATCAGTGGATAATTTTCCAACTTGAACGATCAGATCCCCAGCCAGCACAGCAGTGTCCGTGCTTCTTCTGGGGCGAAGGAGCTCGTTCAATTGGCGATAGAAGTCGTCTTTTACCGAATCATCGCTAGAGTTTGTGGGTGCATAGGCAGCGATGACGAATAGACACCTATTGGTCCCGCGCAACTTCGAAGCTTTGAACAAGCCAGCCAATCGGACCGCACACATCCACTACCGATTGGAATTCAATCAACCAGAGCAGATTCAGCCCGGGGACCCAGGGCAATACCAACACCAGCTTGGCCGGTACTCGAAGCTGCATCGTCACCGGATAGGCGCAATGAGAAAGTACTGCTTGCGTCACCTGAAGGGGATCGCAGTGAGCACAGAGCTCGAGTCCTGCAGGCGGATCTCCAACAAGCAGCAGATATCGATCGAGAGGGTCTCCAATGTTCGGGCAAGTGCTGCCTGTTGACCGATCTATAGCAATGTGCGTACATTGAGGCATGCCAATCGAGGGCTCTAAATAGAATCCGATGAACTGGGCTTGGCCGCTTGCTTAGACATAGGCTTGTCGACAGGGCAGCAATGACGCTCCGCGTCTATATGTGAGTTGAAACTAAAAGACAAGCGACTGTTGAAGCGAGGTGGGGGAGGGCCAAGAATTGGGGGGTTGAAAACAGGCGGGATAAAAGTGAAGCTGGAACGGGACGATAAAGGTGAAAAAGCGTAAGCGGAGAATAATAAGACCGGACGGCTTGAGGAGTAGCATGCAAACCCCTATCCACCCTGCTCGATGCAGCAGATAAGGCACCGCTGAGTATCTTCTGCGGTGGCCAGAGCATCAGGAATTTGTTTGGAGCGAGGTTCATTGTATTGCGTGGACAGGATACTGTCAGGTTACCCAGGCCTAGACAGGCGAACGATTAGGGTTCTCAACCAAAGCCTTTGGTTCAAAAACCTGACCGCAAGACAGCGGGTTTTGGCACTGGACTACAGAGAGCCTGTTTTAGAAATAAGGAGCCACCCTCATTCCAACCCCCAACTTGGGAGACCAGGAGGCTGAGTTTGTCTGGCTTCTAACCATTGACCAATCTGGTATGAGTGGCTCTATTGGTGCAAAAAGCACCACCCAGCATAGCTCAATGGATCTCTGAAGCACGTAAACTATCGCACCACGGTAAGGTCCAGCCTCATTGCGATGGGGTTTATTTAGACTGTTGCTTTCATGCCCGAAAGCCAAGATCAAACAAGGCAATCAAACCGATGTACTCCTTCAGTTTACCTAGAATGAGTACATCCGTTTGATTGCCTTGTTTGATTTCGTCTTTCGGGCTTGAATGCAACCGTCTCAGGGTAGCATTTGGTTTATGTACGACTGTGATTCTGTGTGGCGCTGGTAATCGTGCTGTTGGATCAGAAACTTTCTTTATGTATGGAAGCATTACTCGTTTAGTTATCAGTTCTGATAGCTATTAAAGCGTTCTCCTCTTCATGGTGCTTCAAATAAAGTTTCGTGGATATCCGTTGTTTTGTAACCTTCGGAATGGATGATTCTCCTCCTTCTTTTTCCATTCCACTGTACAGCACTTTGTTTCCGGCCGCTTGCATAGAGTTTGGATGCAGTTATTTTTGTGGTCATCGGTTGTTACTGTGATAGTACAATATTTGATCCGTATATGTGCTCTTGCGATGTCCGCAAGCTCAGAGTGCTCCGTCGACGTCCCTGTGAAGTAAAACATCCAGGATTGGCACTTGGTCGTCGTTTCCAATTAAATGGTGAACTTAATAGCCTCGAATGTGTTGATGATGAAATCGTGCTTGTGCTGTACTGAATTCGTTTTGTCATGACAAATATATCGTCTACGTATCGGATCCAGTTTTCAAAGGTCACCTGCTCGGATGACTAATGACGATGAGCTATAAATGCACAGGCACGTGTCTACCCGGTTCGCACTTACGCATCGCTCACCCACGCAACGCTACCCACTAACACACTGATGATGTCACCTCGACTGGTGATGAAACGCTTGCGGCCAAATTGCAAAGCTCAGCGAAAAGTTCGTTTAACAGAATGTTTGATTTACAAGAACCCCAACCGCATCTAGCACCAGTCATTGAAATATAGTCCCGAAACCAACGCTAGTGACCAAATAACTAAAGTTACCGAAGCAGTGAAGCTTGCCACAAGAAACAAGTGTGCGAACAGTGTGGTGCTGCCAAACGGCGTGATTTCTGCCCAATGGTATGGTAATGCGATATACACGGTCTAATGATGCACCAACCCCACAAGGTGTGATACTGTCCCTGTTCCTCGGGAGATGGTGTAACCTAGCGAAACAACGTGGTAATCATCCTTTTTCCTAATATGCGGATGGAAGCATCTGCATCTATCTTGGCATGTATATCACAGTGGTCCACCATTAGGCAATGCACTTCACTGAGTGGTTTATTTTTGTGTTCATAACTCGCAACCGGACCACGCGAGTGAACTGAGTTGGTGCTATTTTTTCTTGTGATAAATCGTCGTTTCACTTCTGGCTGGGAATGGCGCAAAGTATATTTCCGCACCCAGAAGGCTCATGCAATTTACCTTCTTAAATATGATCGAAGAGGAACTAAGGCAACTGGAAAAATAATTCGGACCGTGCGGATCGAAGCATCTAAACTAGGTTGTACCCACTGCTATAGTCGGAAAAGTGAACGAGACTATCCACCACAAATGGCGATTTTCCCAGTTAGCCTTAAAGTTTTGCTGAACGTCTGTCAATAATCTTTACTGCCAACTGAGTATCTCTGCACCAAGTCTAACGATGGTCGGATTTCCCAAAGACAAGTCCCCCGTACAAGTATCCCTTAGTGGTAGTCGAGTTACCTACATGGACTATTCACTGACAGCACTCTGCAAGGATGTGTCACCACATGCAGCAGATGCATACCGGTAGCTGGACTCCAGAGTAAAAACATCTCTCCCTGGGCTCACGTAAGCAAACACTACCATGGGGTATATTCATATTTTACCTACCAGCTAGAAGATCAGTGCCTTCTAGTCGTCAGTAGCAGCGACTGGTTGCACAATTCGTCTCTCTGAATACTTTGGTCTTGTGCAGTGGTACACAGCAAACTTCCGATAAATTTGGTGCCACCTTTCTGGTCAATAGCACGGGATGATTCGGGGCACTTATTGAAAATTCTCAAACAAACAGTTAGGCACAGAAAATTATAATCATCAAACGTGTTATTTTAAACCTAAGAGGAGAATGATTACCAGCCGGGTTGCAAGGCTCGCTCGTGTAAGCCGTTAAATAGAAAACTGTGCACATAAATAAGTAGAACAAAATGTGTGAAAATGATAACAGTTTGTTCACGAAACCGTTATGGAGCGATTTCCCTAGATGAATATGAACAAACATGAGTATACACCACTAGGCCTAAAAACAACAATTATCTAGCGTAGCCCCTGAAAGCTGCTTGTAGCCCTGATTACCTAGGTGCAAAATTAATGGCAATCTCCTAATGACAACTTCCGATAAAATATTCAAAGTTTCTCGAACACTCACAGAGGCGAGTCCTGCAACTGCCCTCAAAATATACAGTAGATAAATACTTTGAAAAGCAGCGACCGGGAGAAGCGCAGTGGAAGAAGCCAGCACCAGAAGGCAGACAAAAATGACACGGCGGGACCCAAACTTCCTTATAATGAATCCCGATGGAATTTGCCCGACCAAATATCCCCAAAAGAAGGCTCCCAAAATCTGACCGCGCGTCGATCCATCCCAAGTAAAGGGACCATCTATTAAGACCTGCGGTGGGCAGTGAAATGGAGTGTAGGAAAGAAAATATTACGAGATGTTTAGTGTTAACCGAGTAACCAATAAAATAGATTAGTTCTTCCCTTCGCCAAATGGAAGGAAAGTACTATCATAAAAATCACACATATTGTTGCCGTGCGCATTCGTAGACGGACATACTCTTATCATGAGCGTTCTCAAACAGACCAATACTTAACAATGCAACCATTATCGCTTCTTGGCAGTGTTACTTTTGCTGAATTTGCGGTGACTCGCCGAAGCACGCTTACAAACTCTCAAGTAAATCAGAGATTAGTGAGCAATTATGACGCGATGAAAGCTGAATTTCATTTTGAAGGTATAGTTCGTAAACAGATCATTATTCTTGCAGTGTGAAATGAGTGAACTAGTGAGCTAAAGCTGGATGCCAACTACGCGCTAAAGACCGGATGTCCAAATCCGATTTAGAAGCTGCACTCACGGGGAGTCGACGGTAGTGACAGGAAACGGAGTCACAACGTTAATGAAGTGCTCGGTTCACATTAATAGCCCATTTTATTCCAGATCCACATCAACCAAGTACCTCAGCTTCGTCAAACGCCCTGCGCATTATTTGCGGATGACCTGAAAATTTGGAGGATTATTGATTTTCTTGGCGACTACGATATCCTTCAGCAGGACCTCGATAGCTTATCCCGGAGGTCGACAGAAGTTGACTGACAGTTCAACATGGCCAAGTCCTCGTTTATGAGTCTGGGGACGGGGTAGTAATAGGCGGGTGTACACCATGTCCGGTAACCCGCTGCATTTGATCAGTTGCTTAAAGGATCTAGGCGTACTCTTACGCTGTGATCGGAAATCTGTCGACAACACAAACAGACTGTATGCAAACGGACTATGCCTGCTTTGGGCACTTAGACGCAGCTTCTGCTCTTGGTCTGAAGAGATTCCCAGTCGTCGGTTCTCTTCCATAATGAAACCGGTGCTTGAGTTTGGCTCACCCGCCTATTGCCCGATCACAATAGCTGAGGTGCAGAGAATGGAACGTGTCCAGCATATAACTACCCGGGTCATCCCCAATTTACGGCGTACGTCGTATGAGGAATAGGGCTTTATACCCTGTCATATCGTCGGCTTCGAGTTGATCTCATAATGACGCACCGGACACTGCACCTGGGGCCACTTTCCTATATTGAATCCGCTACTGCACATTCGCGCACCAAGCAACACACGCGGATACCGGTACAAACTAGTGGCACTGGATCTAAAACACATTGCTCACCCTCTATACTTCGAACGTTAAGTGGTGGAATATTGGAACAAATTGTCGGAGACGCTAGTCAAGGCGAAATCGGTGTCGGAATTTTAGAGATGTCTTGACGCCCACTTGGCGGACTACAGGTGTAGGGAGCGGATCGCACCCGGATAAGATGTAGTGCAGCTGCTATATTCTGCCACCGCGCAGGAAGCAGCGACGTGATTCCGCGTATGGGCCCTATCCACCTATGATGGAGCACCACAGATTTTACTTTTTTGCTTTCTATTCTCAGTATTCAGTATTTACTGTGTGTGACTACCTACTTGACAACGACCGCTACCTGGGGTCAAGGAGAAGCGCTGAGGTACCAGCACGAGTGCTTACAGTGCAATGACAATGTGTATTAAATAAAAGCAACACAGGTAGGACGTGCTGCTAGGTATGGAAGGATGTCTGGGTACGGCGTGCTACAGCGGCGTGGAAGACCCGGCCGTGTGTGTGCAGCACCCGTTTAGGTAAACCAATTCGACATGCAGCTTGACACACCACATCGATCGCCTAAATGTGTGACAAGATAGTTTTAGCCATCATTTTACACGACAAACACAAGCAAACAGGGGAACCTCAGGACTGTTACAGATTGTTTCAGGCATCTGGCTTACACGTATTTCATGAATCGCCAAATTGATTGTGTGTAGGTGTGGGCAACCCCAGAGTATTCCTATCTCACCTACTGGAAGTCACCGTGTAGCAGCGAAATGTCGGGATGGGGCACCAGCATACCGCCGAGGCTAATTCTTGCCACTCGATATGCCGAATCAGAGCAACTTGAACAGTAAAACAGCAATCATTAGAAGTTGACCGGTTGTAAAAGAACAACTTAATAGACACGCACTGCAAGGTCTCATGGACCAACACCAATTCTAAAAGGTAACGTGTTGATGTGTAGAACATCCTTTTCGAATTAGACATAAAATAAAAAGTGTACCTCTCCCCTGTAAAGCTCCTTGTCCCATCAGGCGCAGAAATTTGAATATGGAGAATTATTTGCTTTGTCATGTGACAGGACAATATTTCACCACGAACATTAAGCTTACAGTGCAAAAATGGACTAAGTAGTTCTCTGTCCGTCGGACACTCAGACTGCCAAGTTTTGTTCGCATCCACGTGATGACATACAAGTTTTGTGCTTAGACAACCAGGAGTCAAGATCCCGAAGCTGAATATTCACTCTTCATGAGTGTATAAAGCGCATTGTTGACTTGACTTGCACCTTGTCATAGACTCGATACAAAGTTGATTTTAAACATCAACAGTGAGGATCAGAAGAGCAACTGCAAACGGTCAGCAGTACTGGAGTAGCTAATACGTTTCGCAGGCACTCTCTAAAGGTAGGATAGCAAGGTTGATACTCGGGGGTAGGGTGGGACTAGAAGTGGGTTAATATTTCCCTCCTCCGCCTAAGCAGCCTTTGGTCAACAAAGTGCAATCCAGCTAAAAGTCGAATTCGGTTGAAGTGCGAGGCAAGTAAATCACCCTCTGCTAAAAGCCAACGTCACAAATATCCAAGCAGTGCTCTGGAAATACAGCAATGTGTTCCAGCACACGGAGAGCCATCTTGTGAGGTGTCAGGAAGCGTATACTGAGATTCCATCATTGAATTTGGTCGATTTGGATAAGGTGGACTTTATCGATCTACTGTTTGACGGCCACTAGTCAGACCAATCAACTATCGACAAACACCCAGGAGAGGTTCCGTTATTCTGTATGTACTTTTTCCCCTAAAGTGCTGTCCTATTACAGGACCAGCAGTCTTTTCGTATCTCTTTGATCTGCGAATACAAACAACCGGGGACAGTTGATCAAGTTACCTAATACAGTGACTATATGCATCATCCTATGCGTTTGCCACACTGATTTGACTTTTACCATCTACCATTTACCTAATCACGTCGGTGACGTAACACAAGTGTGAACGCTGATCCAAGCTCTATCCGGTGACGCGTAGTCAGTAGGTGTTTACCTATTGAGGAAGCTAGCGGCTTGCGCAAGCACGGAACTTCAGTGGGACAGGGATGCTGATCAATAGGAAATGCATGCATCTACCAGCTTTCGTCTTCTTACCGTGATTCTCAAATTCCTGAAGGGAACTAATTGCTTTAACCTGATAAAATCTTTTGCATTGGTCGGCTGTCCGCACGGATTCGTTCGCATGCAATCATATCGGGTGGCTAGTCGGTGATTCACAGTTGGTCTGCTAGAAGCGCTGGTTGTTGGGTACCGATTATCCAGCACCGGATTGTAGTTTTTGATTCCGTTCGGACCGCATTAGCTGCCGGCTACTAAGTGCTTGCTGATTACAAGATTCCACATTCGTTCTTGCATTCGAGTGAGAAATTAAGTGTAATGATCAACAATCATTCTTGGAGCCGAAGTACTCTACAGCGCTTCCTCGTTTTGGAGTGCAGGTTGGAATTTCGGTGTTCAAGTACCAATAACTTTCGTTGTGATTGTCCACGTTGGCTCATCCGTGTAAAGTAAACAATCTCGGCAAGTAACTGACTAGCAATGTTCATGATGTTGATACTAAATGTACGGCTCCACATATTAGCCATGAGATTGGGCGTAGCTCTATTTCCCATTGTTCATCCGTCATATGGAACTTAGGTGCACTCAAGTAAAGACAGTTATTATCAAGGTTCAAGGCGGAAAGGCAAAGGTGCCTGCTAGAAGGTGCAGTAGTAATCACTAATCATCTGGATGGACTTGGAATTACGTTAGTTCAAACGTGATGGTACGGTAGTGCCTTAGTATGTTTCATCGAAACAGAAATCAGTGCAAGGAAACAATTGATTTATAGCGCAGAATGGCTGCAACCGAGTTGTCTGATGATAGATTGTTAGTAAATAGCTTATCGCCAGAGTAAAATATACAGCTACGGTTGAGTCACTGGATGATAGCCAAGTTACTTCTTAGAAATTTGGTAAAACAGTTTGAACATTTTTTCGAAAGCCGAATGTTTGTCAGGGAGCAGCGGGATTTACTTGATGTATTATTTCTGTGGTCGTTTAAAAGTGGTCAACAGGGATTGTGTGATATTGCCACCTTCCAATGCTTAAATTAAAGCAAGGAATCGCTCTCGGAAATCCCCACATACCTCGGACAAGAGACGATCGGATCGGTCCAGTCTTAGATGGTGATGGCACGCGATGACTGCAGCAACCAACCAGTTACATTCACACGTTGTGAGACCACCGTCAGCTCTGTAAGCCCAACTTCATATATGGCAGACGCCAGATAGAATACGCAACGGTAAGTCATCACTGTTTTACTGTACCTATTATTTTTGCATCCTACTAATTTGTAACCGCATTGATGGTATTTGCTTCCCTATTCCTATATCTGTCTCTGTCTATTATTGATGCCCACACTTCCGACTAAATTTAAGGCTGCCATTTAGGTTCACATCTAAATGTTAACTAACCGCCGACAGTGGTATTTGTTGCTTCTAATTGTAAGTGCAATTTTCCAAAAGTAAAGAAATATGACTGTTATACTTACGTTCAATCCAAACTCATGCATCTTCTTAGCGTTACTGTTCATGAGGGTTACTGTTTCTCCACTCAGTTTGTGGTACTTCATGCATAAGTGTGAACAAATACTCGCTCGTAAAATGCAGAACTGCAAATCGAACCCGGGACCTTTGATATGTCAATTGATGTCTCTACTCACCGTGGGCGGTAGTCGTCAACAT